CTGTCACCCTGCACTGTCACCCTGCACTGCCACCCTGCACTGTCACCAGGCACTGCCACGTCCTGCAGGTCCTGGTCACTCACTCTGGTGCAGCCAGCAAGAACCCAAATGTGACAAAAATGTGACATTCACCACCTTTGGAAGTGTCAATCCCAAACCTCTGCTGTGTCCTCCTGGGAGGCTGGGTGACACGCTGCTGCCATGGCACGACCCTGGCACATCTCTGCTGGGTTTGTCCTGGGTTCCAAAGCACGGCTGTGCCATGGCAGGGACTGTCCCACCGTGCTGTGCTGACAGAACAGGGACAGCAGGTGTGGCACGGCCCCTCAGAGCTGGTTTGATGGCTTTTCTCCTGGCCACAGGCAGCAGCATGAACCTGAAGAAGTACCTGGTGCGGGCTCTGCACCGCCTGCAGAAGGGCCCTGGCTACACCTACAAGGAGCTGCTGGTCTGGTACTGTGACAACACCAACACCCACGGCCCCAAGCGCATCATCAAGGAGGGGCCAAAGAAGAAATTAATCTGGTTCTTCCTAACGCTGCTCTTTGCATCCCTGGTGTTCTGGCAGTGGGGGATCCTCATCAACACCTACCTCTCCTACAACGTCACCTCCTCTCTCTCCATTGGCTTTAAGACCATGAAGTTCCCTGCAGTCACTGTCTGCAATGCCAACCCTTTCAAGTAAGTTTTTCTCCTCCCAATTTCCCCATGTGTGCCCTAACCCCTCAGAAATGCTGCATGAGGAACTGAGGGCCTGTTCTGTCTCAGGCATCACATGAGGAGCATCAATGGGGTCACCAAGTGGCCCTAAAAACAAATAAAGAACAATATGAACTTGAATGGCTCAGGGCCACAGGAGGGTTCATCTGCCTGCAAATTCTCCTGGGCTTCACAGAATCCCAGAACAGCTTGGGTTGGGAAGGGACCTTCGAGTTCATTTCATTTCACCCCTGCCACGGTCAGGGACCCCTCCACTGTCCCAGTCTGCTCCAAGCCCCAGTGTCCAGCCTGGCCTGGGACACTGCCAGGGATGCAGAGGCAGCCACAGCTGCTCTGAGCACCCTGTGCCCAGTCAATCTAATGAAGGTTTTTACCTCCCTGCAAACTTTCCTCAGCTCATAAAAGAACCAAATTCAGCTCACCTTTCCCAGCCAGAATCAGTCTTTCCATCTTTCCCCACAATTTCTTTCCTTCCCCTTCCTTGCTGTGAGCATTCTTCTTATTGTTCCCACTGCAGTCACTAGGAGCTGGTTCCACAGTTCTGTTTGCCAGGAGCCACAGAGACAGAGCTGAATCGTGATTTCAAAGGGGTCACTGATTTTCATCAGAGTTGCTTTAAATTTCTAGTGGTTTAAATCCATGCAATAGTGTAGCCCGAGGCAAGGTGCTCTCAGCCAACACAAGAATTGCTTTAGGGGTAGTTTTTCCTCCACTTGCTAGAGATGTTTTGTGTAAACTGCAGTGAATTACTGAACTAGAACCATGGCCCAGCACTGGCGTGTTTATCCTCCCACTGCCCCCCTGCCCAGCTGCAGCTGCTGGGACACCAGTGCCCGAGCATGGACATTCCCATTGTCCTCCAGTAAATCCCAGGCAGCGCCCTGAGCTCCCAGGGAGGTCCAGGCCAGTGGGGTGAGTGCCACATGTCCCCAGCACCTTGCTCACAGTTGCCTGTCCCCAGGTACTCGGAGGTGAAGCCCCTGCTGAAGGAGCTGGACAGGCTCATCGAGGCAGCCCTGGAGAGGATCCTGCAGCCAGAGAACAGCAGTGACATCGTGTCCCCACCCCTCGACCTGGAGCTCTGGAACCAGATCCCCCTGGTCCTCATCGACGAGCACGACAAAGACAATCCCATCATCCTGGACATCTTTGAGACCAACCAGACTGCAGTGGGCAACGAGAGGGGCATGGACAATGAAACCAGAGTGAGGAATGGCAC